AGGAGAACACTAACCTCCTACAACAATAACCGGAATGGAACAATTCAATATTCCGGACCGGAAGCAAGCAAGCACTATACCTTGCGATTAATAACGAAAAGCGGCGATGTCCACTCTACAATTCTGGTTAAAATCCTATGATCATTAATTATATGAGTAGTTATTATCGGTATTTGGCAGAAACGCCGATCGGTGACACCGAGTTTCACTGTTTGTTTACGTTTCCATAAAGGCGCGGGAAATGCGCGGTGGGGGTGGGGAGCCTCCCCCAGGGGAGGAGGAGAGGGGTAGGGGACGCGGCACGGCAAAGGGGGAGAGCAATAATTATTATTACGGCATACTCACCGACATATCGTGGTCGCGGGATGTGATTCTTTCCTGGGGTAGGCAATCCCGCCTCGCTTGTCCAGGATGTGATCCTTTGGGGATGCTTCCCGTCCCGTGCATCGTTGTGTGGCTCCAGGCGGCAACGCCAGGGAAGTGCCATGTGACAATAGTGAATTGATCTGGACAATAAACTATTATGGGCGATTTGCTATTAATAAATAATTATATTTGGCGACTTTTAAGAAATATGCACCAGCCGGGGTACACGACGTTTGGAGCCGAATCGTATTTGTCGTGGGAGTGTCATCGGCGTGCTCGGGAAGGTCCCCAATGACGTCCCCGGGGGGCCCGGACGACATCGGCACTACCAGATTTGGACTCAGCGTGCGAGAAAACCCCCGAACACGATATTTCAGTCATCCTGGTCGTTCCGAGGTTGACGGTCGGTCGGTCGGCCAATCCGTATCTTATTTTGACAGCCCCCCTGCAATCGACCGCTGCGTCCTGCGGACCCCGCTCTCGCCCGCAATCGACCGCCCCCGTTACTGACAGATGCCCTGGGCTTACAAGTTGTTCTGTATGAGGGGTAAATTTTTTACTGGGGGGAGGGAGATTAGGAGATGGACGTGAGCATTTGCGGTGCCGAGCGGACTTTTGTCTTTTTGTCGAAAAATTAGGGGGGTTCGGCGCCTGCGAGACTCCGGGTAGGCCATCCCGCAATACACGCAAGCTCTACAAGCAAGATGTTGCCTACCTATAAGGCGCTATGAGACCGCTGAACTTGGCAATTTCGCCCCTCCCCCCCCCCCCCATACCGCGCCCGGCACTTAGGAAAGTGACCCACCCATCGCAGATCCGAGAGCCGTGGCACACTACAGCCGATCCACAGCGTGGCGCGAAACAAGAGTTGTTCAAAAATAAGATTATTTACTTATGTTAGTGAAATAGCGTAAGTTATTTCTTTTACCCTTTTCCAGGCCCGGAACTGCAGTTAGGCACTTCAATTGCCCTCCTGATGGTATCTGTACCTGATTTAGCTCTTATTTCAACAACTGCCACTAAATGAAATAACATAATGTAATTAACTACTTTACTCATTTTATTTACCAAAATAGATAAATTAGGTTCGGACAAACGAGCTTCGGCTAATCGGGGCGCCCCCCCATATACGGACATACAATGGCATAAAGCACATATCAGTTGATATATCTCTGAGAATTTTACCAACTATAAGTTTGATAATTATTAATTGAGAAAAAAAATATTTAATGCTAGTATATAAGAGGAACAGAAACACACTCACTTTCCCCCGAAAATTCGTCGCGGAAGTAGCGGGGTCTAAAAGGCCCAGTTTAAGCCAAGTAGGGTCTCGCACGCTTCAGAAGCCCGGAAACTCATTAAATACACTTAATACACGTGTCGGCGGCTCCCGTTATTAATATTTTTTCTGAATTTGAGGCCTTAAAAATGGGAGGGGTCTTTATACAGATTGATAGGCCTGTTGTTGGTGTTGCATCTGCACTTAAGGGATGTAATGACATGGGCTTAATAATAAGAAAATTATCAAGAGTAAAATACAATTTTGGTCTCATACACAACTTTAATAAAACTTTACCTCCTCCAAATCATCAATAAATATACACTTTGAGAAACAAAGACTTTACTTCCTCTTTTTCTTGCCCTTCTTTGATTGTTTCATTTTTATACGCTTCTGCTCTTTTTCCCGTTGAAGTCTCTTCTTCAAAATTTGGTCCTTAGATGTAAGCTGAACATCACGCTTCTTACGCTCAACCTTTTGGTTGTGCCTGCCCCAATGTGTGTTGGGATGTGCATTAAGAGCTGAAAAAAAAATCCCCAAGGGTGATTATGAGGAATAATTCCTAAGAATAATAAGTTCCAATGAAAACTCAATAACAAAATGTTGTGTGATTGACTTACGTTTAGTATTCCTTTCTGCTTCATTCTCTTCCTCCTCACCCTCACTTGCATCATTTGTCTGTTCTTGTATCTTATTCTTTTCTTGCCACTCTTTGTAACGCCCACTCTTGTAAGTTGATGGAATCCACTGACCTGATTCTGTTTTTATCATTGAAACCTTCTTATCCTAAAAAAAATAATTAAAAAATAAAAATTAAAAAAACAAAAAAACAGATATGGAGGCAATCTTAAAAGTAACAAAGACAAAGTATTTTTATGCACAGTAGAAACATAAATCTTACCGGATTCACTTGCACCATCTTCTTTTTCTTACGGTCCCACTTCATTTGACGCTTTTTGTTACGCATCATTTCTTCAGTATCACCTGTCAGGTCTAATGCTGCAGAACTAGCCTCCTTGTAGAAATTGACTGTAAGCCTATGTAAAGAGAAACAAAAACATTTAGTACATACATAGTACTTCTTCCAAGAAATGTACTTCACCAAGCTACACAAGATAAGGCATCTCTCACCCTTCTTCAGAGTATTTATCTGGAGCTGTATATGGAACATAATGTTCTTTGTCCACCTGGTACTTCTTCATCTTCTTAGCTCTTATGACTTCTGCATCATAGATTCTTCTTTTGGCAGGATTTATGACAGTTCGGAAAGCATCATCAATTTCATCCTGGGTGCTGCTAGGCAAATTTTTACTTGGTTCTGATAAACCTTTGTCTTGCATCTTCAAGCGTTCCTCAACTTTCGATTGATATTTTTCTATGTTTGTTTGGTGAAAGTCTCTTTTTGCTTTCATAGCTAGATACATTGGTGAAATAGGGTTGCCACCCAGTTCAAAAACAGTCTACAAAAGAACACAAATTATATTCTTTGCTGAGCAGATGGTATACAAAGTTACAAAAAGGATTGAAAGAATTCCTTACCCCCTTAGGCCGATATTGTCTCATCAATCCTAGGATAGCTTGCTTATCTGCTTCCAAAAGTGGTGCATGAACTTTCTTGAAAACTGGATGAGGACCTAAATCACTAAAATCAATTTCTTTCAGTCGGCGTACACTTTCAGTTGACGCCCCTGTTCGTGTTTGGATGTAACGAGAGTAGGCATTTTTACAAACCCGTTTTTGACTTTCCTAAAACAAAATTTACATAGAAAAATTAATGAACTTAAGCAAAACTATTTGTCACTTTGAGAAATAGTTGTGAAAACAGTTACCATATCAGAAAACTGACGAAGAAGTATTTCAAGATTTGCTAGCTCTTCTTCAAGTAGAGATTGAGGTATTCGACCAAAAACTCCATCCTCTACATCATCACTCTCATTATTTGTTTCATTTTCCTGTTTTTCCTTTTTGATGTGAACTGTGTGCTTTGCTTCCTTTATACCTCTACCTAAGAATAAATGTAGATCTAGAAAGTATGGTAGTTCTTCTGTGGACACCAGTGAATAGGCAGTACCACTACGGCCGGCACGAGCACATCTTCCTAAATATGAAAATTAGCAATGTAATAGAGAGAACTTGGTAAAATAAAATACGAGATAAAATACCTCACAGGTACTGACCAACTCTGTGGATGAAGAGTTTAGCTTTTGCAGGAAAATTGTAGTTAATTACGTTATCCAGATAGGGAATGTCAATACCTCGAGCAGCAACATCAGTAACAATTAGAGCCTGTACTTTTCTGCTGGCAAATTTTGCAACATTGATCTTTCTTGCAGAGGGATCCAAGTTTGAATACACACAAGTATTGGAAATTCCAGAGTTGTGTAAAAGCTGTAAGAATTTGTTTACATTTTACATTTCTTTACCCTGAAGTTATGTAAAATAAAGAAAAAGGTACCTAGGTGCCTATCAGAAAATTGAAATAAAAGTTCACTTACCATGCTGACATACTCAACATGATGTTTTGTAGCAACAAAAATGGCACATTGCACATCCCAACCAATAACTTGCTTGAGTAGCACTAAGAGTGCAGCATCTTTGTCTTCAGGTCTGCAGTTCACAAATACTAGTTTTAAGAGCTCTGGCAATTTTGATTCCACGTCCAACCTGACAATAGATAATAAACAATAAACATCTCAGTTGATTTAGTATCTGCATTGAGGAAACCGACAGTAAAGATCTAACCGTAGTAACACAGGATCGCTTAGACCAGCCCTTGCAAACTCAACTAAAAGTTTAGGAAGGGTAGCAGAAAACAGAAGTGTCTGTCTACTGTCAGGTAACCTGGCTAAAATGTCATTCATCTGTTCACCAAAGCCCATTTCAAAGAGCCTGTAAAAGAAAATAAGTTATCATTAGTTTTAGTGCACATATAGGCTTACAGATCTATTCAGGCGGATTTATGTATTCCTCACCTATCAGCCTCATCAAATACAACATACTGAACTGAATCCAACTTCAAGTCCATTTCAACACATAAATGTAGAAATCGTCCAGGGGTAGCAACTATAATATCAGGATTACCATGCATGGCACTGAATTGATTTTCCATAGAGTCACCTCCTAGGACAACTACAGATTTCAAGCCAGTAAATCTGCCCAAATCTCGAATAAATTTTAGTGTCTACAAAGTAGAATGATAAGGATAAGAAAAATATCTAATGTGCAGGTGAGATGAAACACAAGGACAATCATGCGTTACCTGAACTGCCAGTTCTCTGGTGGGGGAGAGAATTAAAGCTCTTGCTCCAGATTTAGCAGATCGGATCTTTAATTTCTCAAAAAGAGGTATCAGAAAACAAGCAGTTTTTCCACTTCCAGTTCGAGCCATGGCAACAACATCTCGACCACTCATTACCAAGGGAATCGTCTGTAATTTAAACATAGATGAAGAAAAAGTAGTGGTAAATTAAGAATGCAGTAAAGTGAAAAGGGGAAAATACCCAAAATAGTATACCTTTCTTTGAATAGGAGTGGGGACTTTGTATCCCCTCTTTTTAATGCCCTTCAGCACTTCAAAACTAAGTCCAAGGCACTGAAATCCACCACCTTTCTGAGTAGTCTTTTTGGGCACTGGAAAATCCTTCTCATCATCTCCATCTTCATCAGGAAATGAAAACCCTTCCACTTCATCCACTGTCCCTTTGGTCGTATCCATCTGAATAGGAATAAGGTTATACAAAATAAATAAAAAGCCACACAAGGCCCACAAAGTGTGAATGCAGCTCGACAAAGTTATGTTCATCATCAAGGAACTGAATTTTCAGAAATATCCTTTTTAATAACTGAAGGAGTTTTAAAAAAAATCAGACGCACCTTTACTTTTTCTTATAACTAGTTTTATGACGAATAATTACAAGATCACAACAACCACCACAAAATGCATGACCACGTTACTTTCAGAGGTTATGGTGGTCTAAACTCTGTGTGGTGTGGTATTGCGATTCGCTACGACATCATTCGAAACCAAGGAACCCCGGTGCGAGGCTACCGTCTCTCTTGCACGCGGGAGGAAAGTGAGCGTTGCGCGGGGGTGGTTCAAAAGTTAATCCTAAGCTGTTTTGGTGAAATAAGCTGCAGCAGGTGAAAATTGGAGGTCATCTGATACCGTAAGGTGCGTATTGAATCTAATTGAGTATTCGAGCCCGGACGAAGATTCGAGTATTCTCAGGGATTAAGAAGCCCTTGAGTATAACCAAGTACCACATGCCCGTGAACTTTTCCAAGATGTAAAACATCCGATGTTTTGTAAAAGAAATAATCCTCTGGTAAATGGTACTTTTCATGCAAAATCATCCACAAATTTTTTTGACATTTTTAAGAATTAAATATTTTAAAACCAGAATGTGCCAGAATGTAATTCAAATTAAAATGAATCAACACACAAGGACAAGTACCAAAATAAACATGTTTATTTAATCATAAATTTATTTACAATTTTCAATATCTTTACAGCATATGTACATTTGATGGAATATCCATCATAACAAAAAATTTTGATATGTACAGGGGTCACAGATCATGACTAAAAACAAAAATAAACATCTGCCACTTAAATGACAGTTTTGCAGCAAGTTACGGTGTCATGCCAAAAGAGCAAAAGAGTCATGTAATTTTTTTCAATGAGATCCATTTTTTGTGAATTTGTCATTTACACAATTGAAAGTAGGTAACAATTACAAAAGAATTATGGCACTGACACAATTTTGTTTATAAGTTCATTAACAGAAAAGTATAAAATCAAACAATACTAATTGTACAATTAGTAAATCAAAAGTATGATCTGGATTTTTAGGAGATCTGCTGAAATTCATTGTACTGAATCAATGATGAATCATGTTTGATTTCAGACTAGATAGATTCGAGTACATACACTAAATTTCAATTTTAAAAATGCAATTCATTAAGACAACTTATTGTAATTAAATGTATAACGACATAGAGACATGCTTTACTCTCTGGGAAATAGCAATAAAGCCTAATGTTCCATTTATATTGCAAATATTGCTTTTTCTGAAATTTATCCGAAGTAAATGTAACAAGACAAGCTTCAATGGTCTTCAAGTAATTTTGACAATGATTTTATATAGTGGTGGAAACATCACACACTGCAATTTTAAACTAATGTGGAAAGTTCATGGGGAGTAGTAGTAACACTACTTAAATCCAAGGTTGCTGGAGGCACTCCTGGAATCAAACTTCCATTTCCAGTGTGCTTGGAAATGTCATTCATCCAGTGCGTTGAGTTCAACTGTTGTGAATGGTGTTGAAGATTCTGCCTATGCTGTTCCTGTTGCTGTCTTCCAAGTTGTCGAACAGCATTAGTCTTTTCCTAGAAGAAAAAAGAAATGGACATCATTAATTTATTCAATCACGCAAAAGATAGTGAAAATATTAAAACAGAAGGTCACCATACCTTTTGCCAGACGAAGACATTGTGCACCATTGCACATCCACAAAATATGATGCCTATTCCAATCAAGACACTCGTTACTATAGCAGGAGTCGAATGGAACTGGATAAAGGTGTAAAGAATAATTCCTAAAACAAAAGAAAAGGAAACCATTACTCACTGCCTAGATGTAGCCTTAAACAAAATTAACTTAATAATTTGGTGATAATTCCCGCATCGGCCAAGAAAGCGTGATTTTCCATTTCTCCTAATTTCATTTCGACCCCCAACGTGCGATAGTTAGCGACAACCACCCTGCAGCCGATAGCACGCCGCATTCCCACACCCAACCGAACCCTTCCAATAGCCGCCTGTTCCCAGACGGCCCTCCCCACACCCACCACCCCCGCCGGCCCAGGCCCCATCGTGTCAAAACAAATACCCGCACATAGCGCGTCCGGGTCGGTTAACATTCTCCACGTCTCTCCTATCAGACGCAAAACAGAGTATTCGCAAAAAATAAACATTAAAAAATTCTAATTTAGTGATTTGCAGTTTTGACAAAAATGTAGGCAAAATTCTTACTTTTCTGATGAACAACTTTGCAACTAGCAAACCTTTTGTTGCTGAATACATTTTTTGATCTGTTTTAGTCTGTCTTAGCAAGTAAGTGCTAGTATTTTTTGCGCGTTAGGGGGTGGGGGAGAGCAGGGTAATTCCCGTGGTCCCTCTCCGTGGTGATTCCGTACAGCGTTCTCGTGTTTCCGTCCTTGTCGCACCCATGGGACTCTGCCACTAGATAGAAGAGGGAAGGATCGAATAAACACCGTGCGCAATCACCCTGCTGGCCCGGCGCTAGTCTGCCGAGTCTACTGGCGCCACGGCGCCGGCTTGGCCCGACACCTGTCATAATTGCAATGAGCACGGGGGACTATAGGACCCCCGACTCGCCCAGGCAAGGCCAGTTCGGCGGACAACAAGACGGTCGGCGACGAATTCCTCTCGCTTTTCATCCATCTTTTCATGCCCGCTGTGCGGGGGGG